GGATTTCCGCAATAAAGAAAAATAAACAGTTGAGATTTAGAACACTAAAGAGTAACGTCCCCTTTTATTAAGGTTATCGTTAGTAGGTGCCTTCGGATATTAAGGACCTATTAACCTTATTAGGGTGTTGAGTTAACCCCTTTACTCTTTGAGTTAACCGTCTTCCTCTGACGCTAAGCTACGGCAGCCCCGCTGCAACGCCAAAGACATCGTGTACCGCAAAGCTAAACAGCTTATACCGATTTACGTTAGTCCCATGGGTTGAATCCACCAGCACGACCTCAGGGAAAGCAGCAAACAATCGTTTCTGACGCGCCGACTGGAAAGTCACCACACGGATGACGTTGGTCTCACTGTCGACGATGCACTCGGCCGTGTTTCCAGTAGCACTCTCGATGAACTCATCTAGTACAGCAATAGCTCTTTCAGCATCTGTTCTGCCACCACGAAAGGTCTTTTTCACTCCGTGAATCAAGTTGTGGACATCTTTCAACAGCATAAGTTTCCCTACATGCATACAATAATCCATGTGATCACCACATAAATTTCACCGAATTCAAACCGAACGCAATTGGGGCGTACCTGTCTTCGCCCGAAGATAAGATAAAATTCCGCGCGGCTTAGCTCCAGCCTTGGACAGGACTGCTATATCTTCACGCAATTGGGGGTCCTCAATGCGACGATTCTCAGCGTAACTATACCATTGATGCTCTGTCAAAGCGTGATCATGAGCTCCAGACGCGGACACCACCAAGTGAAACCCATTTCCACTCAGTCTCAAACACACGCGAGCAGAACATCCCGTGGACCAAACCTTCGAATGACTCCTTCGTCCAGTGCCTTTACTCACGAACGGCATCCCGTGCGTGCACAAGAAAGTTCGGCAGTACGTATCCCAAGCCTCAGGAAGAAGTGTTCCGCCAGTACGCGAGCGCTTGTCCGAATTCCTCCCGCCTTCCACGATACTGCATTCTTCTTTGCTTGGCTTGCTCGGACGCAATCTTGCGGTTTCGTGCCTTCACCGACGTATTTGTACGACGTGAGAACAACTGAAATGTTTGCTTCTGAAAGGCGGCAAATACTTTGTCGAAGAGGTCCCAGGACTCCAAAAATGTGGTGAAGCCCTCTAGAAAACTTCCTGCAACAACTTCGTCTTCGTCAGCGCTGTGGTGGACTAGGTTTTGATTCAACTTCTTCTTGCGTTTTCGGTGTGCGTTCGGTTCGTCTTCTGCGCTCGCATCTCCCGTCTCCACGACATCTTCCCCTTGGTCTTTCTTGTAGTCCATGTCGTCCGTAACTCCGTGCGATGCCAGCTCGTCCTCTTCATCAAGTTGGTTCAGGACTTCATCTAAGGCAGGATTGTAGACCTGAGTTGATGCCGCTGCTTGAAGCTGTTGAGCTTCATTCGTCTGCGAAGTTTCGGTCTGCATTATGTCCACATTTGGTGCTATTTTGGTGTCGATATCCAAGCCGAGTAGCTGCTTTCCTTCACAGCTCGAGTTCACTCCGGATTCATTGCCGTCTTGCTCAGCTCCCAATTCAGTCAGCACTTGTGTCAGTTCCTCACTTGTAGCCGAATTGTTACGAAGTCTTTCTTCACGCTGGAGCCCGTGGATCAACTTGCTCTACCACCTTTCAGTTTCATCGACAGTTCGTCGGGCGCGAACACGGTCGCCGTACGCCTCGTGAAGCTTTGCTCCTGTTGCATTGTGAGGCGCTTCCCTCCAAAAGGTAGACCAAGACCGGTTTGTCACCTTGGGGACGATGTTGCTTCTTCTTG